GTCGCCTATCATCCAATCTCTCCACACCTTCCACTTCAACCCAACGGCGCTCAAGGCCAACCATTCAACGGTCCGCAACCAACACAAGCTCCGGTACTCGCTTGAGCAGGAAGGGTAGCAAGGCCGTCTCACAACGTCGGTCTTACCAATGTCGCCCGGCCCAGGCTCAGCAACCAGTGACGTACTTTGAGTTCCCCGTCTTCACCACCTCGAATCCCGAATATGCCATCGACGAGGCAGAGGTGCAGGAGGACAAGTCCGCGCAAACAAATGGACATCCCCTGCCACCACAGACGACACATTACTGGACCAGCGACTCGACCAGGAGGATGGAATATGCGGCTATCGATGCCGCCAGCAGGGGAGTGCGCGGATGGTTCATGCGTCACATTGTGCCAGAGTGCGTAGTGCCTCCCAGCAAGAGACATGTTGGATTTGAGGACGACCGGGGAAGCGTTGTGCGGTACCGTTTGGACCTCGAGGACGACAAGGCGGAGAAGCCCGATGATCGAAGTGAAAGTAGGCGCAAGAGTTGGTGGCTCAGCATGCTCAGGCGATGAACATTTCTATTTACGCCTCAACTTCTTCGCTTTCTCGAGATCTCGACATGGAGCACACACAGACACGAAAGAACTGACGCATTTGCATTTACCGGTCAAAACGGGCGTCATCAGCAGCACTTTTCAGCATCGGTTCGGCGACTATCATCGACCAACAGGCGTTTTATACCCTTCACTTGGCTTAACATCACTTTCGGGCATTTATATGGACATACGGGCCATCACAACAATTCAGGAGGACTCGACCAATTTTGGCTTTGCGGCGTCTCAGACACTATGGAGAATTTGTACCTTTGCAGCATGTTACACGGAGTTTTTACACTGTTTACGGGATTGTTATTGGAGGAAAAGGCATAGAAATGATCAGAATGATGGTTTGATTGCAGGAGTAACTGGACTGGATTTGCGAAGGAGACTACATCAACACTACTGGAGAACAGCCTAATCATGGCTTCAACGGCGGGGATTTAGCGACACAATGTTTTGTTGTTGTTGTTGTTGTTGTTGTTGTTGTTGTTGTTGTTGTAATGATCTAATCACTAAATGATATTGGAGGGATTCGCTTGTTTGCAAACACTTCGTTTACAGTTTCGATGCTGGCCTTCCCTATCTTCTGGCGAACACCGGCATGCTTTTTTCTTCCATCTGTTCCCTCATCTAGCCTCACCAGAGGTACGTACCATTGGGCCCTTTGTACTCGTGTTACACGTGCTGGCTAATCTTCCAACGCCTCACAGATGTGTGCAGCTCTTACATACACAGTATCTCGTGCGGTAAGCTCCGAAGGACAGCATGTCTCACTGGTGTCCTCCCGATTCATTGCGCCGGCCTGTCACCCCCTTGATCGTAACTCAAAAACCTACACGATGTGTGTAGCTAGCCTCAGACAGCTTCGTGACACCTTTACACACCAAACAATCACAAGCCTGGAGAAGAAGAATCACTTTCACCAATAACTTGTACGTGCTTTTTGTCGTCCGACCTCTTCGTTCGAACATTCGGAGAGTCCGTTCCCACTTCGGCAAACCAGGGCAAGTGAATGGCACTCTAGCACGTGGCGGACACGTTTTTCTTTTTTTCGTCGTCCGTCTTGTTCCATTGTTGCCGTGGGTTGAACCGATAGTTTGGACCCCTGTACCTTACCTCGCTTACCCTGATTTTTAGTGTAATCCTGTTAGTGCACAATGTACAGGGGTATCTTCCAACTGTCAATCGGCCAGTCCACAATTACAGGCACCAAAGCACCACAAGGGGGACAAGGGGGTTGGTTGAAAACGTACTGCGTGCCCCTGTGCTGCCAACATCGTTCGTAAAAGAGTGGCTGGAAACGATGACGATCACCATTCTTCCTCGTGGAAGGAAGAAAAAGGGGGTTATGAGGAATATTCCTTTGTTCCATTCTTCTGTGGATCATTGTTCTTCTGTTGGGGATCCGCGATGACGGGATAGGGGACAGGGGCATTCAGGGGTACCACAACCGGCACTGGGCACCAGCCACCAGCCGCCGGGCGCAGGGAAGCCTCAGGAGGTCAAGGGTCCAGGGCTTGTGATCACGACCATGGCAGGGTGGAATGAGAGGCTGCCAGCCAGGCACAGCCAGGCAGCTAGACAGGCAAGGGTGGACCGAGTCATGAATTGATGGTGGGCAGGGACATGGACATTGAGGACACTCCCCTTTCAGGCAACGAATGGGGGACTGGATGGGTTGTTAGCTGGATAGGGTGTTTGAAAAGATGTTGAGGTTGTGGCGAAAGGTGTTAGATTGGGTATAATACTCCCTTGTCTCTTTCTCCTTTTTGACAGGGTGATGATGGCTCTGTCTACGGCCTACGCGGCTATCCACATCTCATCTACTGCTTTTTCGATCACCAAACCCGCGATTCTCTCTTCCTCCGTCACCTATCGAATTCCTCCATTGTGTGTTTCTTTCCCGCCACTTTCATTCATTTGCTCCTCGGCTATGCCCTCGTGTTGACACTCGTCATCTTTTCTGTCCTTTCAACCTCCATCTCCCCATCCCCGTTGCCCATTCCCTCTCCACGCTTGCTTCCCTGTTAACGCATCCCCGGTCGTAGAGTACCGAGTAGCGGCTTTTGCTATACTCTGTTTTCCCCCTCAGTATCGGGATGTGCCCTTCTTTCCTTATTCGTGCGTCGCCTGTTATTTCTTTCCTCCGTGTGTTCCTCTCCCCCCCTCAAACGCTTTGTCCCGCTACTTCTTGCCGCCGCTGCCGCTCCCGCTGCTACTCGAACCTGAACTGGAACTCGAACCCGAACTCGAAGTCGAACTGGATCCCGAGCTCGACGAGCTTGGCCCGGAGGAGCTGCTTGACGTCGGGGCGGAGATGGTGATCGTGGGGAGGAAGACGGGGATGATCGGGGTGTTTCTTCGGGGTTGCGACATCGTGGCTGCGGGTGATGTTGTCGGGTGTGAGCTTGACTTGCTGAACGGTGTGTCTGCCGGTTTGTGTCTGTGTCGAAATGAAAACTTTGCGGAGAGATAGGAGGTGTGTACGAGTGAAAAATGCTCCTCTAATCCTCTGTGCATTTGCCTTTCGCAGTTCGGTTTCAGTGATGGGTGGACGCAGTCGGGCTCCTGATGGGTGCTCTCCGAAGCTGGAAAGAGTCGCCGGTAGAGGAAGTCACGGTGGTTCTTGCCTAAATAGGTCTTTGATGCGGAGTTTTCTTTGCTTGACGTGTTCTTGCCGGTGATGAAGGCAGGAGGGATGCGTGAAAGTGAGCCACAACACGATGGCAGCGTTTGCTTCTAAATGGGGCGTTCTCCGTTCGTTTGAAGAAGGTTTCGGATGCGGTCACGAGAATCTATATTTGAGGCTCCGTTATCTCATGACGCCCAGGGCACATTGATGACCCCGAGTGAGTAGGTAGCCGTTGCTGTCCACTGGTTTGCGAAATTGAAGCCGCCGTTGAACATAAACAACAACATCAGCACCGCGGTTCGCGGCTTTGCGTCCACTCGGTCATCGATATGCGAATGAGGAGGAGAAAGATGGCTCGCAAGGAACAGGAAACGCGTCCGCCCTGAATTTCAAGCTGCGCAATTGAACCATTGATTCCTGTCACGGGGAGCAACTTGATGCTGCGAGCCGCTGCCCTGGTCATCCCGGGGCAGCATAGTCACTCCCCATTTTCCACCGCAGCTGTCACAGTACCAAGTGGATGGGTGTTTGTGTGTTTTAACGAGCGGGAGACATTTATGATGGAGCGTCCATTCTTGGATATCGTAACAGACAATATTTGACGAGCGATCATCATCGGAGCAGACTACTATTCATTCGCTGCCAAATCCAAATCACCTGAACAAAGAATGTGGTGGTGGGAGAAAGGGAGGTTGAGATAGGCGAGAAATCGAGAAAGGGCCACGGGACGAGCAAGGATGGTCGTTGTTCACGATGCATCCACACTTCGACGACCAGGGTCGTCTTGCACGCGAAAACATACGCTAAGCGACGCCAAGACCTGGTGATAGCTTCATTGTCGTTATTAGCTTCCTTCTTCTATCCAAATGACATGCAATAGAATATCGCTGTCGTGCACCGGCAAAAAAGGTGCGAAAAAGTGCCAAAAAAAATAGTGACAAGAGCAGGGATCGAACGACGGACGTACCGAGAGATGGGAGGGAGTAGAAGAGCCCTATTTGCGTAGCCCGAAGACGCCATCTCAGAAGTACTGCCCTGGAGTTCCCCCCGCCGTTAGGGGACTTTAGGGGGCGGTTTTGGGGTCGTAGGCGATTCGTGGGGGGTCGTAGGCGTCCCCTCGGGGGCGGGGGCTCCAGAGCATGTGGTGCACAACCCTCTGTACACAAGTGCAATGAGAGCTCAGCACACCACACCACTCGACCACGCTGCCACTTGTCTGTTGAAAATGTGTTGAGTTGGAGTTACTTATAAACCCCCATTCAAAGTCGTTCTAGGCTTGTCCAAGATGCACCACGGCCACACAGCCACGCAGCATGTGCTCGCCATGTCTGCAAGCCTCTCATTGTCACGCCACGATGCTGGAAACAGGAAGCAGTCCCACTTCACGTTCATTCTTGCCTTTTTGGAGATCCGTTTCCCGCTGGTGGCAACAACGATACCGGCCAACGCATCGCAAGTCGGAAGGAACTGTAGTGCAATGGAAGCCAAGGGCAGGCAGAAATTTGCACGGCAAGTGCGGCAAGGTTTTTTTCTATTTTTTTTTTCCTTCTTCTTTTCCTTTCGAGTCTTGACGATGAGGCAAGCGCAAATCTGACACACTTCCCTTCCAAGTGGAATTCTTGGGTCATGGACCAAGACAAGTGGTACCGTTGTGATGCTGATTACAAGTTGATCCGGGAGTTTCAATCCAAGGCTCACTCGGTTTGAAGAGTCGCGACTCGCATGCCATCCATCGGTCAAAAAGTTAAGGTAAAAAGGGGGGCAAGAGCGACTGGAAAAAATGGTCCGCACCGGATTCGAACCGGCGGTATCCTGAGAGCCAGCATATGTGCCATATCAACATGGAGGCGTGTTACCAATTACACCAGCGGACCACGGGAAAGGTACCGAGAACGTGCTCTATATACCTCGTTGGACTAGGACTTGGGACAAAAGAGGAGAGAACCCGAAGCAAAAGCGACGGAGGAATGAACGGCTTTGTCTCTGGTCATAAAAGTCCCTCTCGTTTACGCCTGATGGCGACCTCCTTCCTGATCTTCCCCATCTTCTTCGCTTACAAGGATGAGGTGAGCAAGATTAATAAGGAGCAAAAACTAGCGGATGCATTCAAGGCCCGTCATCTTTGGTGTTGCTGTCCATTGATCGCCGATACCTCCTCCCCTAACGAACAGCTCCTCGTTATGCCCCTGGGTCTTTGGTTTTGAGGCACTCCTCGGCCACAGAGCAAGGGCGGGCACCACTGCACTGTCCTTTAACAACGACCAAATTTGATGGGAGTGCTGTCAAGGTTGACGAGGAAGACTTGTTTTCTTTATTCTAAGTTCGTCTCTTCAGAAGTTTCGATCGCGACGGAAACTGTCTGGTGTTTTTTGTATGAAAGAGTCCATTAGATGAAGACTTGTCGGACTGAAATCTTGACGTCTACGAATTCTGGCCACTCAATTAATGTTACTATTCAGGATGCATACTTACGAACGCCATGACAAAGCCCTTATGGCGTTGCGTCTTTCTCTCCATTTCCCGTCACCCAAGAACATATCAATCCCCGGTATCCGCCGAGTGTTTACTGTCGAGCCGTCGTCAATTCTGTCTCCCTAGTGACCCATTCGGTGGGTGTCATCCATCCTTCATGAGCAAGGGTGTTTCTTCCTATAAGTGAAGTAACAACCGAAGAGGGTCCTGCACTCCTTCTCGCCAATCAATTTTGCATGCAAAAGGGAACATGAGGTTGTGCAGTTTTTAGTTAGGAAGGAATGCTATGTACGCTAGGTTCAGCCCGCCCCCATTTAGGAGCATATCTTTTATGGATGAGTAGATGCGGTACTTGCCTTGGAGTTCAGCTCAGGAAGTTAGAATAGTCTCCTGATCAGACTATCAAGGTTTTGCCAAGATGTCTAATGTCCAAGGGAAGAGGGAAAGAGTGCTACCTTGACTCCCAGGACTCCTTGAATCAACCAATCACACACCCCCAACTCACAGTTTGAATGATCGTCATAAGATGCTCTTGCCAAGAAGAGTGAAGTACACCTCGTGTATGGGAGGGAAGGAGGGGAAGGGGACTCATGCAAGATCAGCACGAAAAGCAAGATCCGTCACACATCACACATCTTTGACTGGTGGTGATTCATCATACTGGACAAAATCTATCCCGAACTGTCCCAAACCTTACACAAATACAAAATTAGGTACGGACTAGAAAGGCATTAAGAAGATTCAATACAGCACATCGAAAATCCAAGCAGCATATGCAATGTGAAATTATGCCTTGGCACAAACCCGGGCAGTACTGGACTGTACAGGCTTTTCCCTTTTGCGAAACGCAGCAACGACCGGCGAGAGCCGGGTGATTGACGGTATCCAGAGCATCGAAGGAAAGACACAGTGCCTGTTTTCACGGTGTCGTGTTCGCATCATTGACAAAACTCCACCTCGATGATGTCGTGGGTCTCGTATCCGTCCTTCCACAAAGAGGTCAATTCTTACTATCTTCCGCATGCCGATGAAAATTCTTAGTCAGGGATTAGTGATCAATTACTAGCTAGTAACTGCCTCAACTCCTCGCTCTGAAAGACATTAGAGAGATGAAAAACGAAACTTGGCCTTAGTTTCGAAGGAATGGTAGAAATAGCATGCTATGAACAGGAAGCAAAAGAAAAAGAAGAGGAAAACCATCCATCATGTGCAGTCCTTCACAACCCAGCTCACTCCTCCAGACCATCTCTTTCGGGGTTCGTTCATTGTTCAATCACTTTTCCCTGATCAGCCCACCAAGGAAGTGTGAAAGAACGAAGAGAGTTGTGTACAAGTGTTTTTTGTTTGCTTCCCAAAAAGCTAGCTCGAAACACCGCTTAGAAGCCAATGAGGCCGAGGAGACCGCCAGAAAGGCCGCCGAGGATGGAGTGGACGAGACCACCGACCAGAAAGAGGACACCGGCAACAACCTTGTCGAGAGCCTTGAGCAGACCAGAGAGAGCAATGAGGAGAGGGGTGAGGAGGGGGATGAGGCAGCCTGTTTGATACCGTATTAGCTCCAAATTTTTTGTTTGAAAAAGAAAGCAAGATTGTGGACCAGGAAGAAGAACATACCGAGACCGAGCTTGACGATGAGGAACTTGAGAGTGTAGGTGATCTCAAAGACGAGGATCTGAATCTTGATAGTCAAGCAGTCCTTGTCGCAGGAGCTGCCACCGCCGCCAGAAGGGGGGTTGGAACCCTCGCTGCCACCGCGGGCAACGAGCTCAGCCCAGAACTCACGCTTGGCAAGGGTGGTAGTAGCGGCCTTGAGGGCATCGGTGACAGCGTCGAAGTCAGGCTTCAGCTTGTTGGCGGCATCATTCTGCTGAGAGAGGGTGGGGTTGTCGGGATAGAGAGCGGCAGTCGCGTCTGTTCTCAAGTGGTTAGTATCCAAGTCGACCTTTGAATCGTGCCAAAGCTGGAGGAGAAGGAGAAGACATACTCATGTTCGCGGTGTGCTGGCGAACAAGGGCGGTCAGTTGATCGAGCTGATCAGCCTGGCTCTCGAGCTGGCGCTCCGCAATGATGGGAGTCGCGAAAGCCGAGGCGGCGAGAGCGAAGAAAGAAAAGAAGATGCCGGCCTTCATTTTGATGGTTGGTAATTAAAGTTCTTGAAAGAAACTTTGAAAAGAAGCTTTTGATGAAAGAGAGGCTGAGAGGGTTATAAAGAGCTGGGAAGATCTGAGAACCGTGAGGCTGCTGATGCTGATGATGAGAAGAATGAAACTGGACTTGAGGAGAGAAAGGTCTCTATTTATGTCTTTCGTCGAGGTCGAGATGGCGTTGATCGTCGATTTTTGTCGATGACATCGTGTCTCTCCTGCCAGCATACTCTCCTCCTTCTCCTCATCTTCGTCGGCCAGTCGTTGAGTGTCTTCCCAAGTACCGATGGCCCCCGATGTGGTTTCCTTGTTTTGATCCGCCAAGTCCACCCACCACGGGAGATCACCAACTCATGGACAAGGTTGTGGACCGGTGGCAAAGATCCCAATTCTCCTCCTTCATTGAAGTGACTGAATGCATGGGTACCACACGTGGAATGCTTCTTCTGTGGATACATGCAGCCATTCCCAGTTCCCTGAATTGGTTATGGCGGCTGAACTATCTGGGGGAGGCTGTACGGATTCAATGTTGAGGATAGGGCCAAACTGTGCTTTCCATGATATCACAGGAAAGAGCAGCTTCAACGACGATCTCGATGCAAACGCCAGATGGAATCAAGGTCCTAGGCCCCATATTGGACGGCTGGTAGACAAGTCTCTTGCAGAAAACCCCCTGCCGATCAAGGCCACTTGCTGTATTGAAGTCGGACATCACACAAACTAAGGCAGAGAGAGTGGAATAACCGCCCGGATCTACCCCGTCTGGGTAGGAAGTGGTTATTTGGCAACGAGAACTCCCGTGATACGAACTGGAGTGAAGCAACTTTTCCGTCTGTGAATAGTCTTGTGCCCAGCCGGCTCACGGTCAGCCGTGCCTGCCGGGCTGGGCCCACTTCCCAGCACCACCACGCTTAGCTAGGTTTTTCCCCGCGATCGTTCGTAGCCTTGTCTTCTTGCAGAATACATCATCATCTTCTCTCTCTCTCTCGCCTTCTTTGTCCCTGTGGTCCAAGAAATAGAGAATCTTCCAAAAGTCAGCCTGATTACTTGTATGATGTGACCTACCTACGTAAGTGGTGAGCCACATCTTGTGCTGCTCAGGCGTGACTCGATAACATACAAGCCCTCTCCAACAGGGGGGGAAGACCGGTGTTTCCAGTGAAGGTGTCAACTGGGTTCCTGGACCCATCCACGACGAACCCCTTCCTGAGCCTCTTAGTCCTACTGTGCAAGGTCAATTGGTAACAAACAGGAGCCAGGGGCATGGGTCCGACTGGGTGATAGCCCATTGGTCACCCAATATTTGCGGCGCAGAAGACAATAGCCACACTTGCCAACTTCTTGACAATAATATGGAGAAACGGATGGAATACCGTATTGTTCTGCATGTTGAGGATGCCCAAACCGCCGAGTCCTTCGTTAATGACACCTGATGATGTCAGACAACATGACCATCATGAATCTTTTCGTAGTTGTCGTTGGACTGGTTGATGCGGAATCCTCACCCAATTTCCAAGGGTGTGGAATTGGGCCAGACTTGAGTACTGGACGGACATGACACGGTCTAAAGGGACAATCTGATAACTCGTCCGTTCTTCACATCCTAGGCCTGAGGCAAGGCTGATAGCCTAGTGAAACTGTTGACCCGCTTGAACACCCTAAAAAGGATCAACGTGAGGAGTCTCACCGTAGCAGATCATCATTTCTCATCTCGGTATGGACTGTGGAGTGGGCTATGAAACAACACGAACCTGTCGGTGATACTGGTACGTAGACCGTTAGACCGTTTGCTCAATGTCTCAGCGCGGGAATCACGACATCTGAGACCGGGCGTTCGATCACCAGGGCAGAGGCTACAGTGTGTGACCACTAGACGAATAATTGTCGAGTGTCATACTGTATGGAAGAAAACCCTGTCCATCCTCCTCCCATGGGCTATGCGGAACGGCCCATAGGGTGACGGACTGACGGGTGTACTACCTCCCACAAACCTGAAGGACAAAAAAAGAACAAGCCAACGGAAGTGTAGCTGAGCCGCTGCAATTTGCCAGCTGTAACTCTGGACGGCACTGTGCTTTGCAAAAAGACGGTTGGACTGCTCTGACAATTGCGGGGAGATTGACTCGAGATTATTGTCGTTACATTTCCACTATCCGCCAAAGTATCTGTATCCCGAATTAGCCATGATCCACACCTGGAGGATGCATAAACCGGGCCAGTTAATGAACAACGAAGTCCTTTGACAAAATTTTGGGCCC